TTTAGAATAGGAAATAACTTGTCACGTATCTTATCTCTATTGCGAAAACCTCCTCTAGGCCTAGATTAAAATGCAGAGTTCTTTAGACATATCTAATTTTTCCTTTTTCTCATCTCATCTTGGACTTGTTCTGTTTGTCTGTGTAAAATAATATTAATTACTGTCATTTTGTTGGGCTGCTTCCCATTTGTGCCTAATTAGCATAATTCACAGTGGCTATCTGCACCATTGAGTGAGTTAGATTACTTTTGCTGTGTTTAATGATCATACTGAATTCCACGTCTTTGTGAGCTAAGCCTTCACAGGTTGTGGCACATGTAGCATGGCTGGCTGCTCACACAGTAGAGGAATTGGACAGCGTGCCCCTGGTGAGGTGAAGACAGGAAAGGCTGTGTGGACATATGGATCTGAGAGAAGTGGGCTCTTGGGTGGCTGAAGGTATGTGCTGCCTGGTGGCCAAGCAGGAAGCAACACTGATGGAGAGGGGGAAAGTCTGAGGACTGTGGTGATGAGGACTGCGTTTTGGGCAGGGTTCTGAAGAGACATCATCTGTGATGATGACCAGGTCAAGAAAACTGTGAGAGCAGCATTTGCAGTGGCCAGGCTGAATATTCAGTTTCTCTGTTGGAACAAAAAGTGTTGGTGCTTAAAACCATAAATTATTTACTCTTTTAATCTTCATTTTTTTTCAAAGAGATAACTGAAGCTTAGTAATCTAACTTGTCCATGGTCTTCATTAGCTAATGATGCTCTAAAGACTGAAATCCAAGCCATCTGAATCCATCCTCTATTATAATATATTCCTTCCTAATTATAAAGTCAGATCTTGTTTTTTTTTTTTTTTTTACTTTTTGCCAAAACATCAGCTTCATCAGAGAGTGGACTTTGTTTTTTGTGCATCTGTATCCCCACCACCTTGGATAGGGCTGCCCTGAGACAAACAAGGACTCTAAATCCATTCCTGCTACTAACTACATACCATAGATTAGGTAATGTATAAATAATAGATAATAGATATTAAATATAAATAATTGAACTTGCAAAGTCCAATATCATGGTGCCAGTGGATTCAGTGTCTTACAAAGGCTTTCTCTGATTCCATGATGACACCTTCTCACTGCATTCATGGTAGCAAAATAAAGAGGGGAAATGCTGTGTCTTCACAAGGTGGAGAAGATGGAAGGCCCTGGCAGTGCTCTGAGGTCTCTTTCAGAAGGGCATTAATCTCTGTCACAAGTAATTATGTTACTAACATGATTAATCATAATATAATCACTTCCTCAAAGGCCCCACCTCCTAATTGGTTCTCAACAATGAGGATAAAGTTTCAACATGAATTTTAGAGCGATATAAACCCTGAAATCATAGAAGTTCTCTTCTCCCTTTCTTGGTTCTGTGTGATGGAAGCCATCTTTTCCTTCCATAAACCAGGTCTGAGCACATCCAGACTCTTAGGAATCCGGGCTTTAGCAAGGAAGGTCTGTGAGAGGGAAGACAGGCAGTTGCCCCTGGGTCCCCAGCGTTCTGTCCTGGGGTGCGTGGAGGACAGCAATTTATTGAAAGTCATAGCACTAAAGGAAAAAATGAACCACTGCATATCGGCTAATGATGAAACTTCCAACCTCTAAAAATGACAAATGCCCTAGTTCTCTACCCCCTCACATGCCTGTCTTCCTGCAAAGGAAGAAATAATGTGATTTCATTTTCCAGGAAACTTATTATTCATCTATTCAATAACTTGCACATCCTGTTAACAGTTTGACTTCTCTTACTTCTGGAAGTTTGAAGCATCGTTTCTTTAGTTGAAGGAGTTTTGAAAAAGAAAAAAAGGAAAGCTTAGAGCTCAAGAAATAAAGAATAATACTGTGATCAAACAACTCATTATTTGTTTTCAAGCTTGATCTTTCAGAAGGTTATTATTTGGAATTGAATACTAATGGATTCAGGTTCTCTTTATGCAGAGAAGATCTTCAACAACAGTGTTCATAGGAAAAGACATTAATCAGGAGAGAGAAGTGAGCCTTGTTCCTAATAATGTTTGCATAATAGCTACCCTTGGGTATATTGCTTGACTTAAAAATAAATATTCATGCTTTCCATATTCAGTACAATGGAGATCATTTGTGGTTATGATTCTGTTATATGTTTCTCTGCGTATTCATTGGGACATCAAACTGGGAGGCTGTTGGACACCAGCAAACATAAATAACAATGCTTCTGAATGTTCTGGGGTAGAAGTAGAAAGAGGCTTGACTGCAGGAAATCTGGGGGAAAGAGCTAAGAGCAGGTCATAACTGTTTTCAGAAGGAGAGAAGCAGAATCAAACTGGCCTGTGTAAGGACGTTTATATGCTCCCCAGATTCGAATTTAACCCCATAGCTTCCCATCACCTGCAGGGTATAATCTAGGTGCCTCATCTTGGCATAGTGGTGCTCATTGGAGTGGCCCCTGTGAGACTCTGCAGCACATGACCTGAGAACACTTTTGATGTGACAATATGGAGCTCTTTGCAGTTTCCTTTAAGAAATACATCTTTTAACTATCACGGCTTTGTTCACATTCTTTGCAAGGGTTCCAAACCTTCTTTGTTAATTATTTGAATTAATCGTGACCAAGTTGGCCTAAACTAACTTCCTCCAAGAATTTTTTTTAACTATACCACTAGCTAGTAAGTTTTAACCTAGCCTCTATTATTGATTGATTGATTGAGATCCATAAATAGTTTTTGCCCAAGGAATTCTTTCATGATCTTCAATTGATTATTTACATGCTGTATATTTTATTATGCAAGTGCTTTAATAAATCCATTTTTTTCTTCTTTCTCTATTTTTCTGTCTCCATCTTTTTTTGAACTTTTAAATTCTGAGAAAGGGTTTAATAAGATCTTGAAGTCATAGGCTATGCTGCTTTGTGAGTTACAGGGCGGTACATTAACTGTTCCCCTGTGCCATTTTCCTGCCTTTATTTCCTTCACACTCTGAATATTTTCCTGCAACCAAGAGAACATCCTGCAGCATGATGTTCTGATTTGTTCCCCCAGATCTGTGACTGCTAACACTCTCCCCGCCTCTTCTTCTCTGAGCTCTGATGTAGTCTTTATGTCTTGAAGTTAAGCTCCATCCCTTTGGCTCCTTTATCTGTGCTTGTCCTCTGTCTGGTGCTATGTTAACAGAGTTATGTCTGCCCAACTTCACATGCCAACTTTACCTTGTTGGAAGGCTCCTTCTAAAACGTCCATATGTCTTTTCCATGTACTTGGGTGCAGTCACAGCAGTACTGAGAATCGTGTCTTCTGTCTATACAACCATCCCACAAAACACTTTTTAAACTTTGATCCTTGGTAGGGAGGTGAGCAATATACCTGTTAATGAAAAAATTGGCTCAAAGACTGAATCACTTCTTAAATTTATGGGCCCAGTAAATTACAGAGTCAGAATTAGACCTGAGTCAAGCACTTTTCCCCACAATGCTACAAACCTCACAGCAGCATTTTCTGCCACCTTCTACATACCTTCCGCAGAGACTAGCAGGGCTCTGTGCACAGTGAGCTCCATGGGGCACTGGACAGGGGCCTGCCTGGTGATGCTGACTAGGCCTCTACTTGCTCTGTGCCCCAGGAGAGTCACTTAACTTCAGATGCCAAGGTCCCCACTTATAAAACAAAGAGAGAGACAGGATGTTTCTTAGGTTCTTTTGACCTATCTTATTCCTTCGGTATTATTTTCACATCTCTCCCTTCCCACTCCTTTCCTTTACTTGCTTTCTTTTCAGTCAAACTGAGAAGTTAATTGGTACACATCTGCCATGTGCTGAATTTATAGGAAGATGGAAAGAAACCCTCAGATGGTTTCAGATGGTCTTCCATGCATCCTCCTTCTGTCTATTTTCAACTTGCCCTTCTCATCACCAAGTTTTTCAAGGCTTCTACTAAAGACAGATGCTCAGTCCTGTGTCCCCGAGTGAGTTTCACATGGTCCTTTGCATCTGCTCACCCAGGACTCGACAGTGAGCCATAGAAAAGCCTCAAGGACTTTGCTCAGCAGCAGCCATGGCTTCATGTACTTTCTTGCATAGTACTTCACTTTTGGTTAACTCTACCTGAGAAATTACTCAAGCAAGTAGAATAAAATATCACTTTGCAAAATAAATTTACATTATTTTTCTTATAAAATTTTGTGACTTCAAAACCTGAAAATCTATTTTTTGAGTAGTTTCATAATTGATATATTATTTATCTAAAAGGACCATATCCATCCTGGTGTAAATAGTTCCTTTTAAGAATGATAATTATCATCAGACACACATAAAGTTTTCCACTTTTGTCAAGCATGTTTTCTTATTTCCTTCCATACCCCACATGATGTGCATAAATCATTAGACACAATTAAAATAGAATGGTTTCCTCTAATCATCTTACTATCTATAGCAGTGAGTTTTTATCATTACGAAATATATAATCAAAATGACAGGTGATTACTTCAACTTCAAAAGAGCTAAGGAGAAGGAACTAGAAATAAGGGACTAGCCACAGTCATGATTAGACACTTCCTTGGCACCTGTGGCTAGTTAGGAACATCCATAGAGCTTCATGAATCCTTTTAGCCTCCCATAAAGTTAAGACTTTCTCCTTTGCATTTGTGGAAACTGAGGCTCAGATAGTTAAATTCACCCACTGTTCCACAGCTCCTTGGTGTCAGAGCTAAGATTTGAATCCAGTCCGTGAAACTCTAAGTTTCATGCCATCTTTGCTGGACCAGGACTGGAGCGGGACTCCTAAGGGCTCTAGAATGATGCATGGGATTGGTGCCTGGGCAGGGAAGGGCTGAAAGAGAGGACCTTCATCTGTTTGACTAAGTTTCAGCCTTCGGGATGCTTCTCCTTCTCTAGGTTCTCCCCACAGACTACCATAGACTGCCCTTTCAAAATATGCACCCAACCTTCTGTAGGATTTTAAAGAGAGGGCCTTCTACTAATGGACATCTCTGTTTTGTCTTTCACAGCAATTTTGCAGGCAGTAATAGCTGGTGATCTTATGAAGGTAAGATATCTCTCTTTGCAAATTTGGTGATTCATTAAGAATTTTCAAAAAATGATATTGTTCACCAAATTTTCAAGATCCTGCTTATGGATTATCTCCCCACTGCCTGCATTGGCTGAGAAGGAGGAAGGATATTTTTGAGAACAGAGCACAGAGAGAGAGGAGCCCTCATAGTCTCTCTTCATTCCCAACAGCGCAGGGTCTGTGGGAAAATGCCCTGAGATTTGCCTGAATTCATTACAATGAACCATACACCCAGTATCAGGGCCACAGTGCCCAGAGTTCCTGCTCTGAAGAAGCTGACATTTGAGAAAGTAAAGGATTTCTTTTCAGACAGATATTGAAATGAATACATTTTAAAGAATAACCTAGGCAATACCCACAATGCATTCTCTGTGATGGGGCTCACATCTTCCGTTGTTATAGTTTGATGCTTTGTGGATCATAGTTAGCCTAAAGATCAACTGGTCCATTTTGAACATCTTATTTGTGCCCATTTTTTTCTGGTGAATTTAGTTCTAAGGAAGGAAATGGTCACCGCTGCCTTGGGAGGGACTATAAATTCTGAAGTCAGGCTGCCTGCCTGAGTTCAGATCTTGGCCCTACTGTTCATTACTCGTGAGGTTTTGAGCCATTATTGAATTCCCTCTGTGCCTCAATTTCTTCATCCATAAAGCAGGATAATAATATTGCCCCTTTTTTTGGTTTGCTATGAGGATTGAATGTTGTCATGCAAGTGATATTGTCATGATGGTCTGTATTATATAGAAAGGGCTCAAAAATGTTAGCCATTTTACTCATTTTACAGTGTTAATCATTTTTTTAGCAGCTAAAAATGGTGGGGATAAAAATATGTCTTGTATAATGTAGTCTATGAGTGTTCTAAAATGTTTATCTGGTCTCATATCATTTTCAGGCATGGGGACCCATATCATATGTCCCTGTGTAACATCAGCAGCACTGACCTGCTGTATATATAGAGTGAAGGCTGTGCCTTACCCATCAGCAGAGTAGGAAAGTTCCAGGTCAGATTGACTACCCAAATGCCTTAGAAGAAAACTGAGAAGCACCACCATTGTTTTTTAAAGTACTTATATCAGATAAATCAAGGCCTACCTGTACGACATTTTTACGTTTTCAACAGGTTACTAGCCGAGTAATATAGAAGGTTGTAAACATATTGGCCAATTGCCATGTGTAGGCACATAATTATGAAAATGGTATTACCCGTGCTGTTGTCCGGATCAGAGTGTCACTCCATGGGTACCCAGGGGAGAAGTGCCCCCCTGAGCAGTGTACCTGTGCATTCATTGCCTTTCCCAGCAGTGGATTAGCACCATCCTATGCTCCTGCAAGGACTTCCAGTAGGCCCTGTGGGAAGTAAAGAGGAGAACAAGGCAGATCCTCGCCCCTGGAGAACCTCTCGGCCAGGACATTTTGCAAAGCACCGTACATCGGAAACCCTTTCATTTGATTTTCTGTATGCTTTTAGTGTAGGCAGCCAACATTCCAGGTCCTTGGATATCACCACACATTTTCAGTAATTAGCAGAGAGTAATTTGAAATATAGAAAATCACTACGTCCAGCTGGATGTCTTTCTGCATTCTACATTATAATGATGTCCTAGATGGCTAAAAAGTAACTTAATGACAACTTATTTACAGAGAGATGAAATACAGTGGCTGAAGTTTTTTTTTTTTTTCTTTTTTAGTCTTTTTCTTTTGTACCTTTTTTCTCATTCTTCTCAATTTTCTGTTTCTCTCGTATGCATAGAAAGTACAGTATAAATTAAGTATTAAACTGGTTGTTGTGTATATGTGCATATTTTTAGGAGAGAGAGAGAAGGAGAGAAGGACTAGGGAACAGAAGATCCCAGGAGCCGCTCAGGGGGAGGGCTGTCACACAGCTCCTGAACAGCTGGGCTGCATAGGATGCCCACGGCTCACTAAAGAGTCCCAGTGTCTAAAAGCCCTTAGAAAGACAGGGTCAAGGCTGCTGGGCAACTGGGTCTGGCTGGGTCTGTACTTCCATCCATCCTTTCTGGATCTGCCCCCAAGGAAAGGGTGCCATTGCAGTTGGGTAGAGCAGGATTCTGTCCGGTCATGAGAGGAGTGTTGGCTACTTCTCCCTATCCTCTCGCCCTACAGTTTAGGGATGGAGATTCCCATGAGTCCTTGGCCTCCATTCAGCTATTCCTCTTCATCTATTTTCTAGGCAGGATTGCAGGGCTCCTTTTGTATCCAGTGCTTTGTGGTCCCCTGGTGGGCCTCTGCTATCCTCATAGTATCCCCCTCTGTCACTATAATTCTTTACACCTCTGTCTTCTGAGTCGCCTGAGAGGCCTGTAGACCAATGACTGAGTCACGTTCAGCTTTGTTTCTGCATTCCCTTTGCTTATGACCTGCACGGTTGTTCATCCTCAAATTGCCCTTTAGAAATGTCACGAAAGCTCTTCTTGTTCAAATATGCTGCCGTTTGGAGAACAGGACCCTATTTGCACTTTCTACAGTGTTCTATCCTTCATGAACCTAGGCTACCTCCTCCTGTAGCCACCTTACTCTCAGGCGGCCAAATTGTTTCCCCCCACTCCCAGTCTTTCCTCCCACAGAAATAAATACATCCTTCTCTTCATCATTTCAGTTTTCATCCCATGGATCATCTCTAGCCTTTTGGGGTATGTACTGGATGATCCTCAGACGGCGTCAGGCCAGGCTGCAGGTCTGGATGAGCAAGGGAGCCACACACAGTGGTCTATGCATGTGTGCGTGTAAATGCTTGCGTTCAGGAAAACGAGAAGCAGCTCTTCTATTTGGTAGTCAGGCTCTTTAGATTGAAGAATAGCTAAACGACACAGGGAAGGAGCTTAGCTATCAGCCATGCTCTCTTTCTGCTTATAGCAATAACTATTCTCTCCCTTGAAAGAGTGCTGAGCCAACCTAGGGAAGGGAAGTTTTTGCTGTCTTTACCCCTCACTCCCATGGGACAGAGACTAGAGCTTAGAAGAGGAAGGAGAACAGCAATTGAGAAAGTTTCAGTTTCCTTGGACCATTGAATACCACAGACCTTCCCCAGAGCCAGGTGAGACACCAGCCATCTATGTGAGTAATATCACAGTCCAAAAATCCACTTCATCTCTTTGACTTTTTTCTATGTCCTCTGAGGCTAGAAACATTTGCGGGTTGCTACGTGAGTCTTACTTTATGAGGACTTAGCTGTTCTTGTTCTGGATTCTACCTGAGCCTCTTTCCATGCTTCTCCCTTTCAGCTAATAGAAAGCTATAAAAATGGAGGCAGTCTGCTAATTCAGGGACCGGATCACTGTTCACTGCTTCACTACGCAGCCAAAACCGGCAACGGGGAGATTGTGAAATATATCCTGGACCATGGTGAGTAGGCACAAGAACTTACCAAAGACCACTCCTGCATGAAGTAGAGGCATCTTCTAAATTGGCATTCACCCAGGCTGTCTTCACAATGGGAGAAAGACTGCTAATCCCATTTTAACTGACTCTCCCAGCTTATATGAAGCTGCCAGGCATACAGATGACTGATACTTGTGGGTCATCCTAACCAAGCAATTAATAGAAGCCATCATCATATGGAACCCCATATAGGCTATTATTGGATCATTAATTTTTAAAAAGTAAAGGACAAAATTAAATGCAATCTGGCATAATGTGTTTTATTTTTCTAAAAACTTTTTTTTTTTGTAAATTAACTGATTGGGATCAGCTACCTAATCCATATTTGTAGTTGACCATTCTGAGGATTTATGACTATGATATTTTTTTAATCTTTTTAGTTTCTCAGTTTATTCTGTTGGAATCCCATTCATCTTTTTAAGTCATGCTTTATTTTCCTTGAAATGCCTAGTACTCTTTTGTCCTCTGTGGCCAGCTATACTTACCTCCCAGAACATTTTCTAACTGGGATTTTGTGGAATAATTTGGTGTTAGATCCTCTGCTGGATTTGGCCTAGAGCACCTGTCTTTAAGAGCTTGTTAGAAGCATTAATAAAGATGGTGAATATCAAGTCTCTATTGTTATGTTAGTTTCTCATGTTTACAGTATTTTGAGGAATAAAGAACAGGAAAAACAGGGAGTTGGGGGTGGGCAGGGTGTTGTGGGGTGGGGGGGTCTGCCTGGCTAGGCTAATTGAAAGGAGAAGATGTGGAAGCTCAATGTGTCTGAGGACATAAGGTCCACTGAGATCCTGGAAGACTTTGAGAGCTGATAGTGAACATGTGGCCTACTTAATTGGCACCCAAATTCAGATTATAGATAGTAGCAGATTAGTGCTTTGGTTAGAGTTTGTTAATTGGTTTAATGTTTATGCTCAAGAGAAAAAGAAAAAAGACTCAAGATTCCCAGTCATTATCTAACTTCATTCACAGGAAAGAGTTCCAGAGGTCTCAGATGTTTCCTGTCCCATCAGCATCTCCAGTGGGTCAGGAGATGCCCAGGAGAAAGACTGGAGATAGTGAAGTAAATAGATCTCTTCTGATTGAACTTAAATCTTCCAATTGGCATTCCAAGAATCACTACATTTTTGATAGATGGCATTTTTAAACTTTACTATTATAGTCAAGTAATGAAAATTCATTTGCAACTGATCTTTATTGAAATGCATTTTTATCAATCTTGTACACTAATTACCGATTTTTTAAAAAATCATCCATTTCATCATTTCTATTTACTTAAGAATATGAATGTGATTTTTTTTTTAATTTTGAATGTGAAATCTTTTGGTAGTCAAATTCACCTGGTTCTGCAAGAGTTAAATGCTCATTTGTTTTCTTAACATCTTTTATTGCTGATACAATGTGTATTAACCTGTGCATTTTGAAATTGAAAACTACCTTTGCAGAACCATTCATCTCTTTTAAATTATAGAAGCCCCTTTAAATTATCCCATTCTTGAAATCAGGAACAAGTAAATGAAAACCTTACCCTATCTCTACTCTGTAATCACTTTTAAAGGGATCTCTGCTGATTGAAATAGTTTTTCCTTAGTACTGATGATAACTTTGGAATTACCCTGGCCTAACCAAAGTGGCAGTGCCTTTTCTAAAAGGCTTCCAGAAGCCATTTAGGATTGTTGACCAGACTATGGTATCATATTTAAAAATAAGCAACAGATTTGCAGTAAGTAAGTCTGATCAGTTTGAATCCATGTAAATTAAAAAAAAAACTAAATAAATGAAATTTTTATGCCATGCCAAAGATCCAGAGAACACACTCCTCCTAGTTCCTGAATGCAGCAAATCTCTTGATCTCCTTTTATTTTTTACAATTTGGTCCATGCTGGTCCATGTCTTTCCTGCAGCTTCAGATATTATAAATCCAAAATATGTTGAAAGACCTGACAAAAGGTGCCTTTGCTTCCTGTGGATTCAGTGGGTCCCTTTCAAGGTTCATAAGTGACACTTGTGTGGTCCTCACCTTGTACAAGGCTTGGGGCATCCTTACTGCTGTAAGCACCTCCCCCTCTGCTGTGCCTGCTTCTTCAGTGGGCATTTAGGGTAAGGAGTGTGGTTCAGGATCAAGGAAACACCTGCTGAACAAGAGTCCTGAGAGATGGTTGTCTTCCCTGACAGGAGGATCCACAGTGTATTTCTCTTCTAAGGCTCTTTCAAACTGGCTGGGGACTGCAGGAAGTGAGATGTGTGGTTTGTTCTGAAAAAGCCACAGGGGGCCTCTTCCTTTGGCCTTCTTCTCTCATACAAACATCGAGCAGCTTTCCTTTATGAAAAACTGGAATCTGGGCATTTAGAGGGTTGAAAAGAGAACCGAGGAGGAAGAGAGCTAACCATTCCAGAGACAGGGCAGAGGCTAAGGATGCTGAGATTCCCCATGGTGGTTCCCACTTTTCAACTCCTTTCAGCCATCATTTTTGCGGGCTCCCTCCCCCTAGTTTACCCCTCCAAGAGACTTTTGTGTTGTTTTGTTCCACTATGCCCTATGCATTTGGCTCTTTTGTTTTTATTCTCCCCACGCCTACTCCATTGCCCCCCACTGTTTTTCCTGATAGAAATCTCACTCATGCATTTCCTTTTTGATTTCAATGGGTTATTTTGTCTTCCCTCTTTTTCTGCCTTCAATCTTTCTTTTTTCTTTTTTTTTTTAAATCCCCCCCCCCCCCCCCCCCCCCCGCCTTTTCTGCCTCTGGTCCCAGAGAGAAATGACCACTTTCCTGCTGGGCCGGGATGACAGTGCTGTTAGCATTCCCAGTGCCAGCTCTCCCCACATCTGTGCAGCCTTTGTCTCTGGGCAGAGGAGGATTTGGAATGGTCTGCTGGCAGTGTCAGGGAGACTAATGGGAAATGAGTCCTGAGAGAGGGAGGAAGGGAGAGAGGCTATGGGGAGGTGGAAGGAATAGCAAAGGGGATTTGGATGCACTGGTGTGGGAAGCAAATTAAAGAATGCGTGGTACCAAAGGCACGTCCAATATAACACAAATGCAATATGGATGATAGAGTCAGAGTCGCACCAGCAAGGAACAGCGTGGCCCAGGGAAGAGCCCATGGACTGACTCCTTGCAGTTAGGAGAGCTTGACCACTTACCACCATGCTTGCTTTGAAAGATTTTGAAGTTTTGCCTCCTTTCATGTTCTTGGGACTTCGCCTGAATGCTGATGTATATGTCCCCTTATGAGAGAGATTGTTCTTTCCTTTACTTTCCAGACGATTTCCCACATGGTCCAGTCCTTTAAATCCATGTTTCAATTATGAATAGTTCTCTGAGGAAAAACATGTGGTCTGGGATCTAGTATGATTTAAACATAACAATCATTCATTTAAAAAAATTAATTGTCCCAGACACTTTGGAGGAAAAAAATTTACAGCACTCATTACACTAAAGTTTATTGAGCTAGATGCTAAATGTAATAGCACATTTAATTTCCATTTGACAGATGGTAAAAACAGAAGCATCATGAGGTTAGGTTATTAATCCAAACTCATGCATATGTCTTCTGGATTCCTTATTCTAGCAAAAGACATGAGATACAAATAACCAGAAGGCAGAGGACCTGCATGTGCTTGTTGTATACATTGAAGAAAATCAGTCTTTAATTTTTTTCTCTTCTTTTTTCTTTTTTGTCCTTTTTGATTAGTGAGACCCAACTTTCCAAAAATCTTAGGAGCAATTTTGTTGTTGTTGTTGTTGTTGCTTTTGGTTCCAGGAATTGAACCCAGAGATACTTAACCACTAAGCCATATCCCCAGCCCTTTTTCATTTTTTATTTTGAGACAGGGTCTTGCTAAGTTGCCGAGGCTATCTTAGAACTTGCAATCCTCCTTTCTCAGCCTCCTGAGCCACTGGAATCACAGGCGTGTGCTACCACACCTGGTTTAGGTGCTATTTTTTTTTAATACATTTTATCCTTCAAGAAAATTCTTGTGACCTTTGTTTATTATGTTCAGCTCTCTGACCACCCCCATCCAAATCTTGCAGCACGGTGACTAAACAGCACAGGGTAGTTTAGAGCATGGTTCTAAACTGGTTATTTGTCAGTGCAGAACAAACCAAGAGGGATGGCACACCTTGTATTGGGATACACCTGGCAGCCACTCTTCTTGTGTCTTACTGTGCAGCCCCCTTCTTGCTAGCACAATGCAAACATAGGCCTTTGAAAGCAGGCTCACAAAATGATGAGAAAATGTACCTGTGCTATTAAAAGCAGCTCCCCACTGCTATCTGTAATGAGCTGACTGCCACCTTTCCCCTTCTTCACTGGTCATTTGCCTGCCAGTGCACAAAATGTTCTAGTGGGCTGGGGATAGAGCTCAATGGTAGAGTGCCTGCCTAGCATGCACGGGCCCTGGGGACTGGGTTTGATCCCCGCACTTAAAAAAAAAAAAGTTTCAATATTTTGTGATTATGTTAATGGAAGGAGAAAGGACTTTGGGGTTAAATAAATTAGTCATTCCAAGTCATACCCCAAACCCTTAACTAGAGTTTCTTTAGATGTTAATTAAGAGCAAGTGTCTGTTTCAGTGTCTGTGCCTCTTCTCTGGCCACAGGCATGCCGGAAGCACAGACTGGAAAATCAGCATTGGAATAACTGAGTTGGCTGCACTTTTAATGATTCTGTTTTTATCCTGTTCAGATATGGTGAGGCACAATGTCCTTTCTTTTCCTTGTCCCCACCCTTAGATTGTCAAACCCTTGTTGTTAATGAGTTAAAATATTTCATGTTCCCTCCCATGCATGGAAGCTTGGACCCTGGGGGTCACTGGACCCATGGTGGATGCAGCTCTGATGGACAGTGCTGCAAAAGAGGCCTCTGTTGCCTCAGTTGGGTACAATTAGCAGTAATGATGGGGGCCTAGCTACTGGTGAGGCCAGGCTGTTTTTGTTCCTGGAATTCCTTCCACAATGATAGGATTCAAAGGTTTGCTAAAGGTATCTGGAGCTCCTCAGAAGGACCGTGGGGCCCAGTGGGCCTCTTGCTCCTGATCCTGTGGAGGATGCCCTGTCTGCAACTGAAAAAGCGTGGAGTGCTTGGTTCTCTGGCCTATAGCTTGAGTGGCTTCAAATGCAAGTGGGAGTGAAGTGGTCCTCTGTGTCATCTTCCTACACTGATGTCCCATTTGATTGATGTGATCAGCTATATATGACAGGGAACAGGACAGTTATCACTATCTAAACTCTAAGTGGTGCTTATGGTGGGCTGGACACTGTTATATGCATGTTATGCATAATGACTCAGGAAACCTCCCAACAACCTTTGAGATTAATATTAATCGAGCTTTGCATGTGTGACAACCAAGGCATTACGAACTTGTCCAGCATCTAGTATGTGTTGGAACTGAGAGTTTAAACCAAGAGGGGCAGTGCCAGGAGCCTCAGTCCTAGTCTCTGCCTGGTCTGCTTTGGATGTGTGTATGAGGTGGAGGGAGAAGGATTATCATTCTTATTTCCTCAGAATCACAGAAGTAAGGAACAGAAGTACACCACAGTGAATCCCACCATTGTGTACATCCATAAGAATGTGATCCTAATTAGAATAAGATATATTCCATGCTGTGTAATTCTATCAAAATGGATTCTACTGTCATCTATCATGAAAAGAACCACTAAAAAAGAATATTCTCAAATGTTAAAAAAGATGATTGAGTTAGATGTTTGTTGTTCATATAAGGTACATGGTGGATACAAAAATAATGAAAGTGTTCTGATACTCAAGAGATTTAGAATAATTTAAGAGATAAGGCATAACATTTGACAAGGAAATTTGAGATACAGGGTAGAACCAAGGAAGCATCATGGGAGTTCTGAGATCACAGATCATCTCTTCAGAGGACCCTGTCACAGACAGGGCTTTGAAAAATGTGTTGGGTTTGAGTATGACATTAGAAAAAGAAAGGCTGTTGTGGGTAGGGAGAGTGGGGGATCAAGCTCCCAGATCTAGAAACAGATCTAGAAACAATCAGTTGTGCCCTTATGAGTTCAGCTGACGTGAATAAATGAAACTTAAAGAACCAATGAAGGAAGGGTTGTTCCCGGTGTAAGGCTGTAAACTTCATCACGTACTTGGGAATGAACAGTAGATGACAGATGGAAACTTGGAAATCCAGATGATAAAAGACCATTTTATTTTTAAATAACACTTTCTTCATGCAGTTACATTCCAGGCAGAGACCTGTTAGGAAGTCAACTAGAATAAAAAGTAAAAAGAGGAGGGAGTAAGGGAAGGAGAGAGGGAGAAACCAGGAGGAGGCTGGGATGTGGCTCAGCAGTAGAGTGCTTACATAGCTAGCATGCCCAAGGCTCTGTGTAGCATCCCCCGTGTTCCTTAAAAAACAGATTCACCTAGCTCCAGTGAAGAGTAGATGGGAAAGCAATGAGGTCAAGATGATTTAGCTCCAGGATGAACAGAACTTAGAAATTCGATGATATCACAGTCATTTCTTTGGCAAATTCATGGTTAGAAACTTAGAATGTCTTCCCCCCAGATTTCTTACATTATGCAAAGTAAGTTAATTTGCAATAATAATGATCTCCACCAATACAAAGACAAATCCCAAGGATTGTAACATGCCCAGTACCTAAAACTGTATTTGGTACTTCCTGCCATGTTTATTCATTCATTCAGCCAAATATTTAAGCATCGGCCTGGAACTGGACTCTATGCTGGGTATCAAGAAGGACACAGTGATGGGGAAAGCACAGGCTAAATCTTCCACAAGTTTACCAGAGTCTAGATTGAGAGGCAAATCAGTAGGTAATTTGAAAATACTTACTCAAGTCTCGTGCTTAGTAAAGTAATGCCATATCCCCATTGACCTTGGATGGTCCCAAGTTAGATGATAAGTCCCACTTCCCAACTCAAGTATGAGTCACAGGGTCAGCATGTGAAAAGAGAGGTCATGTAGGCAGGGTGTTTAATGCAATATGTGCAGTGGGGTCTTAGGGGACTTTGTGTAGGAAAGGGGGCTCCAGGCTGAAGGATAAGGGATTGCAAGGAGGGAAGCAGTGGTCAGAAGGCAGAACAGTGGACATTCCAAGTAGTGTATTCAGATTGGATGTGAGAATTAGTAAATAAAGCACCAACCAAAGACAAACTCATGTGTTTTTCAATTTCTAATGATGTGTTTATAATTATTTATGGGTATGCATAACATTTCTTCCAGGTTTTAGAAGGGAAATTTCATAAAAAGTAAGACTTTAGCCTTTTTCTAATATGAAGACATTGGACCAGATGACGTGTGCAGTGTTTGCAGTTGTAAAACATGATACTATGGGAGGACCCTGAAATACATCCTGTAGCTAAAGAATGAGCAACAGTCCTGGTAGCCCACCTGATTGGCTGTTGTCTCTCTGGGCAGCCACCTCACCATTCATCACTTCCTCTGCTCCAATTAATTTTATTTCTTCAACTTGATTGAAAGTCTTTTGACAGCAGAGACTGTCTCATCTTTTGCATTTCCCATTCTATCCGTTATTGACTCCAGATTGGGAGATGAGTGATCAAGAGGTAGAAGAATTCTTTTTTAGTTTGTTTTCTTTTTGTCTTATTATTCCTATCACCAAATGACTCCTTTAAAATTCACCTTTCTATGGCATTTTAATTCTGTGACTATAGTTTCTCTGTTAATGTTTAGTTTGGAGATTATTTTTGATGGGCATCTTGCTTTCTTCTTGTCTAGGACCTTCTGAACTATTGGACATGGCAGACAGTGAAACGTGAGTGTTGCCTTTCATTGCATAGTCTAGATTATTTTCTTCAGAACATTTCTAGGAGAAGATTAAAATCTAAGGCATATGAGGTAATTTTAATTTCATTGATTAAAAGTCCACTATCAACTATATTTATAACTGTGCAGGCAGGGCTAATCTGAATAAAAAATTTTATGATAAAAATTGATGATATGTCATAATGACTACATGCATAGACAATGCTAGTCATCAATGAGAGCTTCCTAGAAACAAGATACTTTTACACTGGAGCATCTTGAACTGCTGAGAATCGTCAATAAATACATTTACCTCTCTATATATAAACCTGGTAGAATAAAGATGAGTGGGATGGAGAGAAATTAGTTGATGAGCAGTTAAATAGGTAGAGAGCAAAAGTGGGAATGAGTAGAATGGAGGACCAGGGGGTGGGGTTTCAGCTGTGAGTTTCTAAAAGCCACCATTGCTCTGTAGAGCTGGTACACACAGCATGTCCCTTTGGCACTGTTGTGAGTTCTGCTGCCACTAACCCCAGTTTGCCTTTTCTATGGGTTGCATTTGATTTTTTTTTTTTAATGAAACTCTATGGCATTAAACGTCTTTTTACTTTGGAACTCAGAATGGGAATATATTCCTCCCTAGACTGCCTTTCACAGATGGAGACAAGTCTATCACTATGCCCTCCCAGAGGCTGGTCTTAGGCCTGCTTCCTGTTTGGAGATCTTGGGCCCCTGAAAGTCTCACTGAGCCTCCCACATGCCCTCTGAGGCTGCCCCTCCTTCTGCCTGCCACTCACACAGAACCCAAAGTGGCCTGAGCAGAGTGGAGGCCAATCTGGTACTTTCAAGTCAGGTTTTCTGGAGATATTCTTTTGAAGGCCAAGTAGGGTCAATCAAGCATTCTGAGATGCCACAGAAAAGTGGTGGCCTTTCATGCTGCTCCCTGGGCACTCCACCCAGTACCTTTCATGCTCTGCCCAAACAGAGACACAGAGGGAATTATTTTGGTGTGCAGAAAAATCTATGCAATTATTCTATTTGATAACGCCATCAAACATATGCTAAGTCAAGCAGTGTAGAAAATTCTAAAAAACTAACAAACTATTTTAAAAAAATCACTAAGCCTAGTTAACCAATGGAACTAGATATGATATGATGGTCAGTCAATGAGAAAGTCAAGTTTTAGACACCTCCTGGATCACCTTCCCAGGAACTTCACACAGCCCTGATCTCAGCTGCCCTCAGGGGAAAAGGCTGAGTAGCACAGGACAGCAGCAACATGGTAGGGGGTAGGATAATTCCCTTCACCATTCTGCCCCCCACCCCACCCCCAAGCCTGTCCCCAACGCCTTTATGAGTGGCTTCCCATTTCATCTTTGATTTAGGGGTGAGACTGCACTGCATAAGGCTGCCTGCCAGCGGAACCGGGCTGTGTGCCAGCTTCTGGTGGATGCAGGAGCATCTCTGAGAAAGACTGACTCCAAGGTAACTGGATGAGCGAGTGCAAACATCCTCCCTCCCTTGGGATCGGGCCACTGTTGCCTTCGCTGGAGCCCCTAGCACAGGCATCCTTTCTGTGCTTATGGAAGTGCCTGGGGCTTTGGAAAAAGGAGGAAAAAATAGAGTGCTTCCTTTAGAGAAAGTGCATTTTAAATGCATAAGCACAAAGGGCGGGTGTTGCTTGCCTGTGGCACTTTATAAACCTTTCAACGTGCTGGCCTTGGGACTTGGGGGTTGTTTGTTGAACTCCAGCAGGCAAATTGTGGGGAGGGGAGATCCAAAGCCCCAGGAAAGGGGTCAGGACTATGTTCAAAAACATTGGCCTGGATAATGAGAAGTTCCTTTGGGATTTCTCTTTCAGTACTGAATCCGATGCCATTTAAAATCTGTCCTTTATGTGGCTCCTTACATGGATGCCAAAGTGATTACCTGTTGGCTCTTTGGAGCTTGGTTCCCAGCTTTGAGATGGTTACAGTCTTAAATCTGCTGTATTTCTGAGGTTCTCTATTTTTCTTTCATTTTTGAAAATTTCTTTCCATTTCTGGCTTTATAGTATTCCCTAAAAGTTAATCTAGAAATTATATAGGGTGGGAATTACTGTTGGTACAGAAACTGAAACTTAGGGGAAGTTGAGTGTGCCCTTGGACTTCCTCTTTGAGCATTCAGCCTAGTGTTGTTTTAGCAGATTGGCTTTTTTCATTTGGTGACAGAATACCCTACTGTCCCAGAAGGATGATGTGACAACAAAGTTGGTTTTCATGCTCAGTTTGTATAATCTGTTTTGTTGCCTCACTCTGAGGCAGTGTAGCTTGAAATATGATGGATTTCTTTGCAGCCAAAATTATATAAATCTGGATTTAGAGTGTATGGGTATCTTGAAGGTAGTGAGAATACCGAAGAGAAAGGGTGGTGAGAGGAAGTAAAGGTGCAGTTGAAGTTTAATAGAGTTGAACTTGGACTGAGCCTGGGGGGTGGTGTTTCTACAGAATATCAACCCTATAAAGAATCCTGATAAGCTCTGAGAGTTTTAAAGTACCCTGGGTAGACTCCAAGGAATGGCCAACTCTTACCCTAGAGTTGCAGAGAAGAATTTTAATGTATAGATGAGGCTTTCATTAAGCAAGCACTGAGTAATTTGGATTTTGAGTAACTAACTGTAGCCATGACACATATTTAACTTAGAAGTTTAATCAATGATTTCAGCTCCACTAGATTTATTTAAGTAATGAGACTGCATATGTGCAATTTTTGCCCTAGAAATTGTTCAGACTTCAGCAGGCATTGTGAACTAACAGTCTCCTGAGTAGACCTCTTTCCTTTCTGAGCTAGTTGGGTTGTTAGGAATCCTGCAGTTCCCTGGCAACACACCAGCATTCTTGCCCTCTTGCTGCATCAATTCTGCTTTAAGCATTTCAAATACACTTGAGCTGTGTCCCGGTTTCTAGCTGGTCAGTTACTCATCTGGCTAGCCAATTTAGTATGTTATTTCAAATGGCAGATAATTGCTCCATAGGATACTCTTTCCAGATGACCTTTGTATCAGAGGCTTTGATGGTTAACCTACCTGAGGAGCATGCACATTGTAGGCAGGATTAGACCAGTCCCTGTTGGGTGGGGTTGGCCTGGGGCCACTCAGAGCATGCAGGTTAGCTGCCCATCTATCACACAAAGGCTAGTTTCTACTTAATTATTAAAAAAGAAAAAAGAAAAGATAGGAGACACATGAAATAAAGGACAAACTGGGACTCAGGAGACTTGGCCTGTGAGCAGGTTGCCCTTTTTATTTTTCTATATTTTTTTCATCAGTTAAGTGGACTCAAGGTTCTCTGGGATTTCTTCTAATTTTGTGTCTTGTATATGTGTGCTTTTTCAAAATGCAAATAACTTCATTATTTTTATGACTATAAATATAGAACATTCTCACACAGAAAACTAATACTATAGAAAACACACACACACACACACACACACACACATAACAAAAGCAAAAATCACTAAGGATCCCACAACCTAGACCCGAATCCAATAAAACTTTTAGTGATCTCTCTTTACATGTCTATTTTTCTTCCATTTCTTTTAAATTGGGTGAAGTGATACTATATATGCCATATTGTATAACATGAGTTTTCACTCCACATTATGTTCTAGGGTAAGTAATACAGCTCTGCTTCATTCCTTTTAAGGATCTTTAATTTAGGCATTCTGTAACTTAATGCTAGAACATAGTGCTAGAACACTGAACATGATAATTAAAACTTGATCTTCTCCTAGAATTATTTAGGAAGAAGTAATGTCCCAGGAATTTCTCTTATTAGAGAAAAGTTCCTTAAAATTCAATTCAGAGTCCCACTAAATGGAACAGGAATTACTATGGGAACCTTAAGCTAGTGGTTAAATGCTAAATTCTAACTAATTAGGAAAAGTTTTAGACTGATTCCAGAGCCATCATTACTGTTCTTAAATCCTCTACTTACATACCTTTGTATGCTACTTGGAGCAGGTTGAGTGAGGCCAGCAGTATTCACTGGGGTACCTGAGATGAAGACAAAGATGAAACTCTTTACTGATTACTATTCTTATTATTATTGGTACTAGGGATTGAACTCAGGGGGGCACTTAACCACTGAGCCACATCCTCAGCCCTTTTTTTGAGACAGGGTTTTGCTGAGTTGCTTAGAGCCTCACTAAGTTGCTGAGGCTGGCTTTGAACTTTTGATCCTCCTGCCTCAGCCTCCCAAGCCACTGGGATTACAAGCATACATCACTGCGCCCAGCATTTAATAATTGTTTTGAAGCCATGTGCATTTATACATGGAACCATTTCTTTGGTATAATGATCATGAATTTACCTTTTCCTTAGAACTTGATAAGACTTTTTAAATAAGTAAAATAATATAATTGAACAAAAGTTTAGAAAACTTCAAGGGACATTAAGTGGGCATTTGAAAAAATGGACACACTGCTTCCCTTTAGTGCAGACTTGTACTCACCAGTCTCATTTAAAAAACTTCTCAAACAGCCAGATATGGTTGTGTACATCTGTAATCCCAGTGGCTTGGGAGGCTGAAGCAGAAGGATCACAAGTTCAAAGCCTCAGTAGCTTAGTGAGGTCCTAAGAAACTTAGCAAGACCCTGTCTTTAAATAAAATCTATTTTTAAAGGGCTGGGGATTTGTCTCAGTAGTTAAACACCCCTGTGTTCAATCCCTGGTACAAAAAAAAAAAAAATTCAAACATAAATACAAATGCTTGGTGTATATATACAGATATACAGAAAGCATTATAGTAGGCTATAAGAAATTATGTAATAATTTAAAATATTTTGAAGGTGTAATGACATAAAATCATGATGTATTATTAAGTGAAAAAAGGTATATAACAGCATATAGGCAAAGTGTAGTTTTATTTTTATAAAGAAAATTATGCATAGAGGTATAGAAAATGATAAAAATAACTTATGGAAGATGAAAACTGGTTTTCCTATTTTAGTGCAATGATTGGTGATTTTTATTTTATTATTTATGCTTTTTTTTTACTTTTCCAAGATTCCCTTAATCAATATCCATCATTTCATATTCAGAAATTAATTCATTTTGAAGCAATCAGGTAGTTAATTATAAATTGGGCATAACTTAACTGAAGACTGAAACCAGCAAAGAAAACCTTTCAGATTATTTGTGAGTAGCCCTTCCTCTCAGCTTCAGCTTGTCAGTTCCTAGAGTTTAATATAATAGAATCTTAACTAGAAATTAGACTGCTCACTTCCTGTTTTATAATGCTGTTTTATCTCTCCCTTTCTAAAAAGGGTCTGTGTCCCTACAGTCACTGGGCCACTCTCTCTGTTTCTCCCTCTCTAAAACTCTGCAGACTTCTGTTTTCCGAGGTTTAACATCTCAAAAGTGATACACTCTTTAATTTGCCAATCTCACAAGTTGGATATAATGCTTATGATAAGATAATAGATTTGAAAGTGTCTTGTAAACTGGAACAGGGAAAACATGGGAACATCCTTATTAGTGAGTAACCCCCTCCCCCGGGGTGGGAGGGGAGCTCTGTTTCTCTGATAACATATGCATTTTGTCTCACTCTGAGTGTTTGTGTCTCTCTCCTTCTCACTGCCACCTCTAGGGTAAGACGCCTCAAGACAGAGCACAGCAGGCTGGGGACCCAGAGTTGGCTGCTTACCTCGAAAGCCGCCAAAACTATAAAATCCTTGGCCATGAGGACCTGGAAACTGCTGTTTGACCCTGGTAGATGGGCCAAGAGGATGAGCGAGCAAATCACCTGTGCCCTGCTGGCAGTTGGGCAGCTCCCCTGGAAGAAGATGATGGAATCCATGTATCTGTCTGTCTCCTGCAAGAATCTATCTGAGACCATGCCACCAGTTTTTAAGGGCTACCAAGATGTACAACAGAACATGATAGCCCAGTGAGAAGGAGGCAGGCAACCTGGAGATTTGTGGAATGCAAGTTCCACAAAATTTGATCCTTATTGCTTCCAGCAAGTAGCATGAACTTCTGTGTTCACCTGTATAATTTATTTTACAGATTCAAAGGATGTTTGTATAAAAGGCACTGCTCCCTCCTCCCCCATGCATTTTCATCTTTCCCCATCCCACACAATTCTACTGTAATTACCATCAACTTAAAAAAATATGATATCTCTTCTCTTTCCATGCAATCTTTGAAGACCACAAGATTGTCTGAAGGTCTTTTAAAACCCCTCTGGCTGTTCTGCAGAAATATTACTATAAAACCACTTCCATTTCCAAGACTAAAGATACTGAGACTACTTAGTGACTCTTTGCATGCCCTCCCCTTCCCCCTCCTGTTTCATCCTATAGGAGCTGGAAAGTGCCACATGGATAACGTCAACTTGTGGGCTAATCTCTGAGGCCTGGTGAGGTGGCATGGGAGCTGTCTGTGCTCAGAGGTACCTCAGAGAGGTCACCCAGGGGTCGGCCCAGGCAGCTGGGCTGTTTGCTGATAGCCATGCAGGACGGGTTCAGCTTGGGCTGTTTGTACAGCTCCGTACTGCCTATGTGTAGCCATCTTTGCCTTTTGCTGCAATAGAGATGAGCAAAGGATTAAACAAAGGCCCATAGCTAGTTTGCAGAACCACTCAATTTCAAGTGCTGTTTAAATTGCTGGGCAGAAAACCGTGTGGGAACTGTGGTCACAGGAAATGGAGCACTCTAACAACATTTAGTTCTAGTCTTTGTTGAGTGATAATAGAAAGCAACCTAATCGACTTGGGGTGGGGGGGGACAGCGAAAGCAGAAGTAGCAACGTATGTCAAGATAATACACTGGAGCAAGAAAACAGTCATAGGAATGTTGCACAGAAGCTAATGACATAGACTCTTGGATCCAGTGGTGAGAGGGGGTCCATTTAAGCTTTTCCTTCTAGGGTTCATTTTCCTGATTTCCAGGAAGTCTTGACCCAAGGACAAAGCCTTGTTGAATGAATCCCACCCACTTCCAGATTCCCAGAATGCCTGGCTCTTTCTGATGGATGCTTCATTTGTTGCTTGTCAGGTTCTGAGCTCATAGCTGAGAACCCTATTTCCAAGTATGGGGTAGTCTAATATATTTCTTTCTCTGCAGGCAGTTCTTGGTGCTGTGGCAATGTGGGAGTCTAGCCAGAAATGTCTGGGAGTGGGGGACTCTGTGATAACTAAAATATCAGGAGAAAAAGTCTTCTAACTTTCTGTCCAAATATCTACTTGAGTTGGGTGTGAGTCAAAAATAAACGCAGGTGTCCAAGGGTTTTATTTTGGCTAAATCTGGTATCTTCTGAGCTTCCTCCATTTTGTTCCTGGACACAACCAAACGCTCCCCTAGTGTTTCTGCATGTGACCATTAATGATCATTTCTCTATGTTTAATGTTAAGGGCCAGTGGTGACACATTATTTGTCTGAATCACATCTTGGTCCCAAATCATCATTTTTGAAGTATGGATGTAATATACTGTATTTGTTCAGAGCAACCTGTCAGTAGATGGAAATTTTATTTAGCACAGTTTCTCCTTAGTCACTTCAAAACCTAATGGTTGGCATCGTTTCCAGCTGTGGGAGAATGGGTTGGCTATGAGTAATCCATTTCCATCTATCAGCCTCAGACCTGGAACTCTCTCTTGGATTTTACAGTCAGGGAAGGAGGGGTTTCAGTAGATTGTTTCCAGAAGCTGGGGGAAAAAATATATGCTCTAGGAGAGTTTAATTACTGGGCTTCTGCAGGGAGTGTTTCAGTTGGTGGGACTGTCAAGGAAACATTGTGATGACAGAAATATAATATAATCCTTAAAACAGACTGGTATCTGGCTTTGAATGGTGCCTTCCATTCCCTGGATTGAGCCAGACATTTGGCCAGGCAGTCAGTTACCCAGCTGCCACTGTTGGGATAAAGGACTCCATTTTCATCAGTTACCATCTCAGATTTCTCTGTGAGTGCTTTAAAGCATCCCAGAGAAAATTTAGGGCACAGGTGGCCATGGGCCAATTCAAACAGCTCCAATGGAAGACACAAATAAACCCCTGGTATGAAGACTGATGAAGTACTGACCACTGGAAGGGTCCTGGTGCATCTGGAAACTGTTTAAAAAAAAAAAAAGCATTAGAGTCCTACAGCATTGATGGGGAACAATATGTGAGCTATCTCTTTGAAAAAGCAAACACCTCCAGGATTTGGGATTTTAAAAAAAAAGTGAGCAGAACAGCCACATATTTACTGGCTTCACTATTGAATCTACCTCCTGTGGCAATTTTTTTTTTTTATTTGGTTGCCGTGTGTGACAGTTTGGGCTTTAGAAAGAGCTAAAGCCATATGGTCTATGAATTTCCATCTCAGCTTAGGTATTTTGTACCCCCTTTAGTGGGCCATCAGGCCAGCCAATGGTCTGGTCCTGGTCTGAAGCCTCACATAACTTGGACAAAAATCTGTACCTATAAAAATGCTATTACAAAAAGCCTGCAGGGACATTTCTGCAAGAAGTGGCCACCTAGCTAGCCAACATTCCTGTGTTTAATCCTTTGTGTGTGGCACTGCCCACTCTGTGATTCCACTTCTATATTAGGCCACTAAAGGGATAGAAAATGGAGAATTATTTAAAGACAACATTCTATAACCTTAAAGGTAGTCATTTTGGGAACCTCATATTTCCGTATTATGCCATTAATGGAATACAGCACAATCAAGCTGGGCTTTGTCACATGCAAGGACTTGATAAAGAACAGGATTGCTAAACCAAGAAGGGATAAGCACCATAACTTGGAATTTTGCTTTGAGATTTCTGGTTACTTCAACAGAGGCCATGACTGAAAACTATTGCAAGTTCTGAGACGGAATTTAGCTGGTGAATGCCCAGCTGTGAGATTGCTCATGACTGTGACAGCCTCTATGCTCCATTGCTGCATACCTTTCATAATTGCTGCAGATCTATGAGTGTTATAAGGCATTCAACAGGTAGTTCCTTTTCATTTGGACCTGGTAACAATCCCTTGAGTAAATGATTTCTGAAATGTAATTACTAGAATCCCCATGATATTCATGTCTTAGAAAATGTGGGGCAACAGTTTCATTTTGTGACAAGTTGATTTTATTAACAATATTTAGATTTCTTTTTTATTTATGACAGTAGCACATGCTGTTTGTAACAAGTTATAATAGCACAGAGGAGTATCCCCTGCTGTGTCAAGGCATCTGTCCCTCTGTACTGGTGTCCTGTCTCAGTCCCCAGAGAGAAACGTTGTTAACGTTGATAAACATGGTTGCCTGTATGTTGCATCATAAACACCCTGTTCACATACTCATATATGCATATACAAATTCACACATGCATACAGAAATATATTTATTTGAATATATATGTGTATACACACACCTACATATATTGCATAGATTTAAAAATAGAAAACAATTGAAAAGCATGACAGTCATCTGTATATGTACAGTTAACACCAAAAGGCAAAGAGAGAGAAGATAACAGAATTTTCATTTATTTTTTGTTTCCAACATGACTGAGCTTAGTTCTTGTCACCACATCACTACAGTTACATGTGACATTTACTATTGGCTGTGTCATAAAATCCATGACCAAGAGTCTGACAATTATTTATGTTGATGTCCACAAAACACAGAACTTGCCTCAGCCCTGAGGCTGGTCTTTGCTATTTTAAGGTCTCAAATAGATAAAGGAGAGTTCTTTCCTCTGAGGCACACTCCACTTTATAAGGCTGAGTTTACAAGACTATCTCTCCATAGGTTGCCTAATGGTATTTGATTAGGGCAAGCTATTGGCAAGAAAGGGGAGTAACTTGGATATGGTCTGGAGTCTGACCAGTTTGTCTTCCAGTAGGAGTAGCTAATGAAATCACTAAGAACAGTATGATATTTTATTTAATTATGCTATTTAAAAATAAAAATAGTTCTTTGTTAAAATGGCTCATCATAAAACTACTAATTGCTCTACTTAACTAAATTATGTTCATTTTAGGAAAAAAATAGAAGAACATCTATTAAATGAGCTCTCTGATTACTCTTTAACATTTATCTAATATAAAAGCCTCTACCCACATCTCGGGAGACTCACCTTTGAATCCTCAGTGCTTCTCAGCTGCAACAATAATTTTGCCACCCATCTGCCAAAATCTTCGCCAGATATTATGATCAGAAGGGCTCTAAATGAAATTTCCTTTTAAGGCAAGTATCCATGTTGCCCAAAGGACAAGTACATGTCCACTGGCCTTGTCATCCTATAGACCTGCAACAATCCTGATAGTGGGACATAATCCGTGAGGCTCAGCACATTTCTTTCTTGTCCTATAAGAGCTCACAATCATAGCTGTTGTTTCCACACACAGTGGTATAGACAACATGTCCCCTTGACACATGGGTCCTATATGTGTTGTAGCTCTAATGGCCATCCATGGATTTTAGGCCGTCTCTCATAGTTTAATGGGAAACCTAGAAAAGAAATAAGCAAGGAATAGTGCATTGGACAACTTATTCTCCCAGGACATGAGATTTATTAAACTGGTCCCCAGAAGAAAGCAGAATAATCCTTAGGGCATTAAATCAATTATTTTAAAGTAGAAGCTTGAATATGAGATGGCGTGTCCATGATGGATAGATTCCTTTTCTGTTTACATATTCCCTTATGCATGCAATTATATGTTCACAAATCAGTCACGCGCATGTATTTAATCATTTATTTAAAAAATACTTGTCACTTACTCTGATGCAGGCACCACATATGAAGGAAAAAACAATGAATGCAATGGACAAACTCAGGATTTATTGGAGTTGGCAGCCAAGGGGGAGAGACAAATTCCAATGTGAAAAATGCTGTGTGAGAGAAACCCAGGGTCCCCTAGCATGTCCTGGAAGTTCAGGGCTAAGCTGTATTTGTATTGGCCAACAGTGTTTTAGGCTTATAAAAACAAAATTAACTAGGAAAGAAATAATGACATTTTGCATTTCCTTTTTCTTAAGAGTTTTAAAATGTTCTTAAAAATGTGTTTTGAAACTAATATTTTACATGAGACTTAGGAACTCGTCTGAAGTAAGGGTTGAAACTACTTTATCCCAGCTCTTAAGGGCAAAACTGGGAATAAGAAGCAGAGCTTGCACTGGATCTTGATTAAATATAAAGGAAATGAGCTATAAATTGTCAAATAATGCATTGGTCATCCTTACAGAGTTCTAAACTAGCAGCCCCTGGGAGAATTTTAACAGAGGGTATTTGACCATCTTTAAGATTGTTCTGACCGGACATAGGATCTGAGAGGGATGGGTTTAGATTCTGTATTTTTCTGTTATGATCTTTTAAAAAGATGTCTTTGTTGAGTGGCAGGATTTCATTTAAAAAATTCATGAAAACCTTGATTTTTCATCTTTAAATCATCATTTTGTACATGAGAAGCTTTAAAATATTGGGGGAAATGAACTTTAGTTATCATTTAAAAGTTTACAACCACTAAGCATGAATTTAAGAGCTACCAAAAAAGAAACCATACAAAAAGCTGTAACTTCATTTAAAATACTTCTAGGAGCATTATGTATCTTGACACATTCTTAGGCATTCTCAAGGAAAATTCTATTAGAAATCTGTCTTACTGTTTGTTATATATATGAAGCACTGTGATTTGATATTCTTAAAGTTAAGGGTAACCTTATATAACCACAGAAGAAAATTCTGTCTAAAAGATATTTAGGAGCAAAGTAAATGTAAATGAGAGGTAGTTGTGGAAAACGCCTGGCTTCAGCTACCAGCATGGCGATTACAAAGAAGGAAACAACCACAGAAGAAAAAAAGTAATAATCTAGGTTTTCTCCCAACTTTAAGTTTCAACCTCTAAAACCAAATGGCATGTGAAATGGGAGCCTCTGATAGTGGCTCAAACTGAGACTATCTTCTTTCTCAACTCTTTAATGAAACACATATATAGCTTTTAACATAAAATAGTTGAACGACCAATCTATATTATTTCTTAATAACAATTTTCATAATGTTTTTTTTTAAAATTAGTGGTTTGGCATTTTAATATGCCTTTTGGCACTTTTGAGCTTCAATACAACCCCAGGAGATGGATAATACATTTAGATGAATAAATTGAATCTTGAAGCAGTGAATTAATCTTGCATAGATCATATAGCAAAGGAGAACTGCAGCCAGAACTGAGGTCTTTAGAAATTGCAGGTTCACATGCCTATAAGAGAGGCTTTCCAAGTCCACAATTCTCCACCATTGCCTTCAATGATATTTTACATCACTTGTTCATTCAGATTTCCATACTAAAATTGTTCCTCCATGAAAAAAAAAAAAAAAAAAAAACTCCTACCTAAGATCCCACAGCAGAAGTTGGTTAGGACCAAGGGAGAATGTGAAATAAAAAATTCAAGAGCTTTCGTTATCAGAGAGAGGCTTGCCAGCCTAGACATATTTCAAGAAAAAAAAAAAAAAGCAGGTCAAAGGGATGGATTGTTTGAATGATTTCATGAGGATAAGTTAACACTGAAGGTTTATGACTCCTCTGCTTTATTTCTGACTCTCAATGTTTATAAAACGTGAATACTATTTTCCCTCCTTGAAAAGATATTGGAATGAAATTGTTTCAGAATGCTGCACCAGAAAGTGTTGAGAGTGGCCCTATCAATCAAGATGCTATTGCTCTGTTCATGGGTGGTCCCACAAAGTTCATCACTCATGTGATCACATACAAAGAGGTCGGAGACATCTATGGGAAATGATGCTGTACTTGAAATGGAAGGAGAAGATAATATTTTGCAATTCTGACTTTCATATTTTACTAGGATCACCTATGCATTGGCTGGTGAATATGCAGAAAGATGTTTGACCTGGAAAGAAGACAAAATTAGGAATATAATACTTGGAGGACACAGGTTAAAGAATACTCTGAGATTTCAAGTTCAGTAGGGCAATTTTAGAATGAAACAAGGACACAACAGAACAAGGACATGAAAAGGAGATGGCTTTATTATGTAAGGATTTGTTTTCCCCATAAGTTGTTTTTTTTTTCTTTTTTCTTTCTTTCTTTTTTTTTTTTTAATTTTTTTGGAGAGGAAACCAGGGCCTTGAACATGATAGACAAGCACTCTACCACTGAGCTACATCCCCAACCCAAAATAGCTTTCCGAAAAACAGTTGATTACTTCTACTCTTCTAGTATTTAAGTAAAGACTGAATAACAAACTCAGGGATCATGTAAAAGCAAATCCATAACCATGAGGGATGTTGGACTAAAAAATCTGCAGCATTTCCCACATTTTGATCTCTGTAATTTTAGACTGGGGCAGTTAAAGCTCATTTGCTCCCAGGTACCTGCCAAATAGATGGCAATGAAAGCATCTTTACAAAAACATCAGCCATTGAAAATATATCCCAAAGCATTTGGACGCATGTATTTCCTTAAAAAATTTGCTTTGCTTATACACCTCTCTCTCTCTTTCTCTCTCTCTCTCTCTCTCACACACATACACACACACACACACACACACATACACACACACGCGTACGTGCACACATGCATATTTTGCCAATTGCTTGTTAATCCCCAAATCTGAAAAAGATGTTTCTACTGAAAACAAGAGATTTAGTGTTCCTTTTTCTACTTAGTACCCCTTTGTTTGATGTGTAGAGTTGGAATTGGGACTTGGAGAAAGGACTAAGGATTTGTATATTTTCTGTAATAAAGAGACAGGAAGGCATTTTCTATATCTTTTTTTTTTATTAAATAAGACAGAACCTCATATCACTAGGCTAATGTTTCTATAATATTTCTGTTTAAGGGGACTACAGTTTTAATTGCCCATCTTCCCTCATTTCTATGATGGTAAGGAGTGAATGTTCAGATTTCAATCAGGAGAAAGAGTTCACTCCAGATAATTTAAGAAATGGGCCCATATGTACAGTCCTATCAGAGAACTTCTTTCACTTCACTTCCCTTTTTCTTTTGCCTGACTCCTTGCCAACTCTATTCATGGTTGGTCACATAAAGCTCATCATCATGTGATCACATGAGTGGCTTGGGAAGGAAAAGGAAAAGCAGAATTTCAAGAAAAAGAAAAACAGTTCTCAAGAGTAGGACAATAATAAGACCCTCCTATTAACACTATTAATTCTCATAGCAACTCAAAAAAGTGACATACACGCTCAGCAAATTTGATGCCCTTGAAAATCAAACTCTGAAAATGTAGAAAACAATTAAACATGTTTAGAGTGGCTTCAAGGAGTATTAGTTGCAAGTTTTTCAACTTATGTAATTTAGAATAATTAGATCATGTCTGGAACATAGGAGAATAGATCAGCTAATGTAAGAACTTTTAAAGGATTGGGTTGTTTGTGAGTGTTGCCCCAAATGATCTCAGGGACTTAGAGCTGTCCAAGAATTGTATGGGTCCACAACCAAATTTGAGAAGAATCTGAAAAATTGAGTGAGTGTTTCCACAAATCTAAATATATTTACTTTTTAAAAATTCAAAGATTTGTTATTTGGGGGTTTAAATACAACCTTTTCTCTTAAACATGATAAACATAAGAGATATTAACAAATGGTTTTTACTTGTGAAAAGAATTTAGAGCATACACACTGATGGCAGCCCAAAGTTAGTCAGTTCACTATATTTTTTGTTTGTTTCAAATTTATAGGTAATTTTACAAACATATTGTTGAGATTTATCATTTTAAGATACTGTCTAGCCTTGATAGTTACGTAGCTTGTATTATAAATCCACATGGTTCCTGACCTTTTCGGTTTAACTAACATTTTTTCATCTGCCACCCTCTCCACCGCTCCATTTGTTAGATTGGGGTGCTCACAATATGCGTGCATAATTTCCAATGTAACTAGAACTTTGATGCTTGCTGGCATCCTGAGGTGGGTTGGGTAAAGTGGGCTCTTGCTGTCCTAGGGAATGACACTTAGAACTTTATAGACAAGATATTCTAATGCAATAGGATATTCTGCCAAGCACATCTTTGAATAGTGAGGGTCCTCATCAGCTGCCATAAATGCTGACTTGGCTTTTTTTTTTTTTAAACTGTGAGCGATTAAGTGGGCAACCATGAATCTGAGTATTACATGGACTCAGCTGATTGAAAGTAAGGGAAACCATGCCTGTCATGGAATTAAGGTCCACGGGACAATCTTAGTCCCGTCAGAATGAATATATTTAATTTTATCAGATTTCTGGGTGGAAGATAGTTCCTACACATCCAGAGTATCTTAGGCTATGGGTGGGCCACTCCCAAGGCTACATCTGTAGGAAGAGTTACAGTCACATTTTAAAGGGCTCTTTCATGATTTCTGATTCTGCCCTTTCACATCCCAGAGCCATGCTTTTTGCAAAGCTGCCAACTGGCAGGTGGAATCCCCCAATGCAGCAGCTGTGGCAGTAGAAAGAGGTCGTTTTATTTCCAGGTAGAGTGGGATCCTGATAATATGAGGCGGAGGGAGGGTGGGTGGGGAGGGAGGGAGGGGAAAGGGAAGAATGGAGTTTTTTTGTAACAAAGTCATAAAATATTTTTCCCTAATTTTCTTGCATTTCCTATTTATATAAAGAAACTTGATCACTGTGTTGCTCTACAGAGATTTTCAATGGAATTAATTTGGGAGACTGAACTAATCTCTGAAAAAGAAATTAACTAGTTACGGTTACTTTTTGG